CATCTCTTTTGTAGTGCAAAAAAACAATACAATAATAAAAATGAAGAACAATTTTAACAAATATAAACTTATTAGTATTTCAGTAGGAAGTGTATGCCTGCTTTTGGCTGATGAGATAGGATTGTTGTTGTTATTGTTGTGTGCTTTCAAGTCCTTTCAGATTTAGGTTGACCCTGAGTGAGGGCCAGGTAAATGACCTTGGAGGGCCGTATTCGGCCCTCAGGTCTTAGTTTGAGGACCCCTGCCTTAACCAGTCAAATGAAAACTGTTAACAACTCACAAAGCTCTGCGGTATGTGACAAATCAAACTATGGCAAAAAGATAAAATCCTCTCTCAGCTGCCCATTTGAAACACAGAGAAAAGAAGCCGTAATTTTAATGTAATAATATTAATAGAGTAAAATAATAATTGTAATAATAATAGAGAAAAATTATAAATGTAATAATAATAACAATAATAGAGTAAAATAATAAATATAATAATCACCATCAGAGCATCCCTGACAGATAGTCATCCAGCCTCTGCTTAAAAGCCTCCAAAGGAGGAGCTTCCATCACATTTGACGGCCCTTCCACACATCCATATAACTCAGAATATCAAGGCAGAAAATAGTTCCAAAGCATCGATGCTGTTGCAACTCAGAGTAAGCTTCACCTTGCTGCCAAACACCACCATACAAGAGCTGTAGTTTTATAGTTTATTGAGGAAAAAGTCCAAGTCAAAATAAAGAATAAGCATTGCAAAATACCAAGGATTAAGGTTAAAAGCAGAATATAGTTCCAAAGATCTTCAGGTAAAAACAGGAGACATAATCCTATTGGCAAAGTTCAAACCAGAGTCCCAGGTACAAGCAATGAAACAATTGCCCCATGAATCACAATTCAAGAAATCCCAAGCGTACTGCTTTCCAGGCTAAGATTATTCCATTAAGCTTTCAGGCTAGTAAGCTACGTTGATCTGACGCTTTCACAGAGTTTCCAGGAGGCCTAAATACCTTTCTAACATCAAAACATTAGGCTCTCAGCATCATAAAAGCATTGCGACGACCTTTCATCAAGCTAGCCTCCCGTCTGCTTGCCAGACGCGAACTCCGCCTGATCAAGGTGAGCTTCTTGGGTCAAGTCACTATCTACACTTTCGGTATCATCGTGGGAAGGCACCTGCTCGCTATTTCCTTCGTAAAAATTCCTTTCTGGTGAAAACAGCTGTGTTGACACTGCACTGTCGGCGAGAGCCTCAGAAGCAGGCTCCGAGATTTGAGGCACAGACAAAGAGCCAGGAAGCTGAAACCCAACAGGAATCTGAATCCCATCATCCTCATCATCAGAAAATAGCTCAGCCACAACAGATGCTCACTGACCACTTGTTCCTGGGATCAGCCCTTCCTTGCCATCACAGCCAAAGGAGAAAAATCATGAGCAATGGGTTAAAATTAGAGGAAACTTCACCTGAATATTAGGAAGAATATCCTGACTGTAAGAAGAGCAGCAGTGGAACTCTCTGCCTCAGGCCCCTTCCACATAGCCAAATAAAATCCCACATTTTCTGCTTTGAACTGGAATATATGGCAATGTGGACTCAGATAACCCAATTCAAAGCAGATATTGTGGGTTTTTCTGCCTTGATATTCTGAGTTCTATGGATGTGCGGAAGGGCTGTCAAGTCTTGTGGAGTCTCCTTCTTGGGAGGCTTTTAAACAAAGGCTGGATGGCCATCTGTCAGGGGTACTGTCAGGGATGGTGATTATTACTATATTATTTTATTCTATTATTATTACATTTATAATTTTTCTCAATAAATATAATAGAGAAAAATTATAAATGTAATAATAATAGAATAAAATAATATAGTAATAATCACCATCCCTGACATTTTACTCTATTAATATTACTGCATCAACATTCTTTTACTCTATTAATATTATTTCTATTACATTTATTATTATTACTACATTATTTTACTATATTATTACATTTATTATTTACTCTATTATTACGGTTATTATTACATTTATTACTCTGTTATTATTTTATTACATTTATTATTTTACATTATTTATTATTACACATGATTTTATTCTATTATTCTATGTATTATATTTATTATTTTACTCTATTAATATTATCACATCAACATTCTTTTACTTTATTAATATTATTTCTATTACATTTATTATTATTACTACATTATTTTACTATATTATTACATTTATTATTTACTCTATTATTACGGTTATTATTACATTTATTACTCTGTTATTATTTTATTACATTTATTATTTTACATTATTTATTATTACACATGATTTTATTCTATTATTCTATGTATTATATTTATTATTTTACTCTATTAATATTATCACATCAACATTCTTTTACTTTATTAATATTATTTCTATTACATTTATTATTATTATGTCAGAGCCCCCGGTGGCGCAGTGGGTTAAAGCCCTGTGCCGGCAGGACTGAAGACCGACAGGTCGCAGGTTCGAATCCAGGGAGAGGCGGATGAGCTCCCTCTATCAGCTCCAGCTCCTCATGCGGGGACATGAGAGAAGCCTCTCACAAGGATGATAAAAAAAACATCCATTCATCCGTGTGTCCCCTGGGCAACGTCCTTGCAGACGGCCAATTCTCTCACACCAGAAGCGACTTGCAGTTTCTGAGGTTGCTCCTGACACGACAAAAAAAAATTCTATTTATTACATTAACATTCTTTTACTCTATTAATATTATTTCTATTACATTTATTGTTATTATTACATTACTATATTATTACATTCATTATTTAATATTATTATGGTTATATTTATTACTCTATTATTATTTTATTACATGGAGCCCCCGGTGGTGCAGTGGGTTAAAGCACTGTGCTGGCAGGACTGAAGACCGAAGGTCGCAGGTTCGAATCCCAGGAGAGGCGGATGAGCTCCCTCTATCAGCTCCAGCTCCTCATGCGGGGACAAGAGAGAAGCCTCCCACAAGGATGACAAAACATCAGAAATCATCTGGGTGTCCCCAGGGCAACGTCTATTAATATTATTTCTATTACATTTATTGTTATTATTACATTACTATATTATTACATTTGTTATTTACTATTATTATGATTATATTTATTACTACATTATTTTATTACATTTATTACAAGAGAGGAGATTCCATCTGAACATGAGGAAGAACTTCCTGACTGTGAGAGCCGTTCAGCAGTGGAACTCTCTGCCCCGGAGTGTGGTGGAGGCTCCTTTTTTGGAAGCTTTTAAACAGAGGCTGGTTGGCCATCTGTCAGGGGTGATTTGAATGCAATTTTCCTGCTTCTTGGCAGAATGGGGTCTCTTCCAACTCTTGGATTCTATGATTTTATTATTTTACACTATTTGTTATTGCACTATTTTCTATTTTTCTATGTATTACATTTATTATTTTACTCTATTATTATTGGAAGGATACATAAGCACATTTACATTGAAGGAGATCAGAATAGTGCTTTAATCAGAGTTGGACAAGGTTTTTTTTTTCCAAGCTGAAAGAATCACCCGCCTGGCAACCGGAAGTGTGGGTCGAATTCCCACAGGCTGTTTCTGTGCCTCTTTGGGGAGGGGGCGTGGCCTCCTTGGCTGGCCCCTCCCCCTCCCCCTTTCGGGGCGGTTTCAGAACTTTGTCACGCCGCCGCCATTTTGTTTGCGGAGGGCGGGAAGATGAGGAAGCGGCGATGGCGGCGCTGGCCCTGAGAGCCCGTCGGGATGGAAGCGGCGGGGCCGAAGGGGGCTCCTGGCGCGGCCTGTGGCGGGGCCGCCCCCTTCCCGCCCCGCGAGTACAAGCTGGTGATGCTGGGAGCTGGAGGCGTCGGGAAGAGCGGTACGTTGGCCCGTCGCTCCCTCACAACTCGAGGCTGAGGAGGCGGAAGCTGCTGCCCAGGCCTTCCTTTTCCAGCCTCCAGGGGGCGCCGGCGGCTCAGAGGGAGAGTGTTTTGGACTCCATCTCCCAGAATTCCCAGCCGTTCTCTAAGCTCGCCGGGCCTTCTGGGAGTTGGAGTCCCGAAAGAAGCCTCAGCCACTGGGTTCCTTTTCCAGCCTCCAGGGGCCGCCCGCGGCTCAGAGGGAGTGTTTTGGACTCCATCTCCCAGAATTCCCAGCCGTTCTCTAAGCTCGC